TCCCAGATGAAGCCTTCACATCATCCACTTTTTACGACCCCAAGAATACAGCACCTAGTCAATCACGTCTCAGGAACTGGGAATACTCTAGAGCTAACTACGGTTGGCGACCAAGGACTTTCAATACTCGTCAGTGGCTTCAGGTTGACCTTGGGAAAATGGCCAAGGTCACTGGCGTTGCTACGCARGATATTCGTGGACATAACTACTGGGTGACTCGATACAGATTGTCGTATTCGTCTGATGGAAGGAGGTTCCGGTCCTTTAAGGCTTATGGACGAGATAAGGTTTGTTGGGCTGCTTAGCAACAAACATTAATAACAATGATATATATATATATATAAAGCGCATTCTATTACCTCATTTGCTATACTGAAACGGAGTCTGTGAAACTGCGCCTGCGATCAAACAAGGTCGCGGTTTTGTACAAAGTTTGCAATAGACCTTTTCTGATGTCCTTGCATGAAGKCTAGGTTGGTCTGATGCGGTCTTACATTTACTGTAACTTATCAAGTTCAACCACTTAAAATGCCGATTATTTTGTAGATATTCAGCGGAAACTATGACAATTACCATGTTGTAGCACACAAAATAAATCCACCAATCAGAGCACGATACGTCCGTATTCACCCAGTCAGTTGGTACCGTGGTATTGGACTTCGTTGGGAGCTTTATGGTTGTAGGAAAGGAGGTAAATAAAAACTAAGGCTTCATGAAATACGTAGCCATAGCTYCTATTCATAATTATTCTAAACAAAATGAATATGTCCAAGATTCCCTGGACATGGACTGCCAAAAACGGAAGTCGAGAAGAAGAGAAGATACAGGAAATTGTGTAAAATATAAAAAAACGATTGTTGTTGATTGCAGCTATAAGTCATAGTAAGATACCAATTAATATTTAACAAATAAAACAGTTTTTTCTGACGATTATCTCTAATAAATAATCATTTTGACCTCAATCTTTTGTTACAGGAGAACACTTCTGCAATGCCGCAGTCGGYATCCAGAAAGGCTCTCTCAAAAACAGTGCCTTCTCTGCCTCGTCTTTCCGACCACGTGGACAACCTTTCCTTGCCAGGCTACACAGGCACTCCAGGGGATACCTTGGTAGCTGGGTGGCTGCRGGCAACGGCAATAACCAGTGGGTCACAGTCGATCTTGGTAGAATAAAAACTATCATCGGCATCAATACACAGGGACAGTTTGATAAAAACTACTATGTTAGTCAGTTTTATGTGTATTATAGTCAGGATAATATCCACTTTGCTGTACAGAGGCACTGGTATGGTCCATATCAGGTAAGACATGGTTTTAAATGGTTTTCTAAGGTTAAGCTCACACTCATGCTTGTTATTTATCAAAGTTCAACAATTTAGATTGTGTTTACATAGTACCGGACGAATTTTAAGCGGTCAAACATTTGTTCTTTTAGAGGTTCCTTTTACACGAGACTGAGATAGTAAAACATAACGTATTTCTCATACAATTAAAGAAACACAAACTCCCACAAGTTCAACAAACTAGCTAAGATATCTCAGTATTTAAAACTGTGATCGCGGAAAATTCATTATAAATGAAAAGTCYTAAACTGTAGTACCATTTTTCATTTCTTATTTTGTTCATTAGATGATCCAAGGAAATCGTGACAACAGAGGCGTCCGCACCAACGCTTTCTATCCACCAATCATTGCTCGTTACATTCGCATTCGACCAATGGGAAGACGAGGAATGAACGCTATGAGATTTGAACTTTATGGATGCAACTCAAGTATGTAAAATACATTTATTTATTATTTGTTTTTTTTCACTATCTCTTTTCTGATCGGCTAAGAGCTCATTTTTGATTCCTGAAATGATGTAAGAGAGATCATTTCATTTCGATCAAATGCAAATTACKTTAAAAAATCAATTACGCTATAATATTACGCCAAACATTATATCTTCTTTGAATTCTGGAAACAGGATGGATGCCTTTGTGATTACCATAATTACCATTTGTATAATAGAAATCGCACGATCTTTAGTATTTATAGRTACGAGGGATGTTTTAAAAGTTTTCAAAATTGGACCAGTTTGGGAACTTTCAAAACATCTATTTTGAGTATCTATAAATTTTGAATTGTACGAGAATGTTATGCGATTTTTTGTTTATAATACACTCAAYAAAATTGAGCAACTTAATTGGGACTCTACAGAGTACAACTTGGGATTTAATTGTACTCCTCTTGTCCAATCAGAATCGAGTAATTTTGTCAAGTTTATTATAAGTGTATTTAAAGTGGGTCATGTCACCTGCCTTTTTGAAACCAATCCTTCTTTTCTCAGATTGTGATGCTCCCCTTGGATCAGAAGACGGCCGCATCGCTAACCAAGAGATAACAGCATCTTCCTACAGTAGCACCTCATATGGACCTTGGAAGGCAAGACTTCGTCAAAACAGTGGCTCATGGTGCTCCAAATACAGAAACCAAAAGCAATGGCTGCAATTTGATTTTGGTGCTGTAACTGTTGTCAAACGAATTGCCACTCAGGGATATCATACTACTGCACAGTACTTTGTCAAGAGTTATTCTGTATCCTATGGCAACAACGGATTTTCATTCAAATACTACCAGGAAGGAGGARGAACAAAGGTTTGTGTACGGTTATAAAAGGATGTTCCTATTTCGCCTTGTTCCTTTTTGCTTCGTTTATCCCGAGTAGCGTATAAATTCTTTGGGTAAACAGGGTATTTACAYCTCTTATATTACAGTAAAACCCCGCGTATAAGATTTTTCCAAGTCAGCCTGAACAGGTTCTTATATAAATGGTGCTTAACTTGAAATCAAGCAATCTAGGAAAAAGAGTAATCYAAGAAAAAGAGTACTTGTATAMGCCTTTTCATAGTTTAAGAATCGATTCCACTGCGCATGCGATTTTATCCCGAATTTCTCATCTTCTTTTGTTTAATTAAGAACAAAAGAAGGTTTAGTCAAAAGAAGGTGAGAAATTCGGGATAAAATCGCATGCGCAGTGGAATCGATTCTTAAACTATGAAAAGGCTTATTGGCGGGCGTGATATTTTATACATTAAATAATTCACACGTTTTCATGCTAGCTACATGGAATATAGTAGAGTCCAAACAATAATAGCACATAAATCATACAAAATAGCGCTAAGTTATGCACATGTATTTTATTATTTACAAGAAAATAAAACAGATTGACTTTTTATTTGGAAATTAAGACCTACTTTGAAATTTCAGCCTGAAATGATTCTTATGTTAAATGGTTCTTAAATTTTAGGTTCTTATACGCGGTGTTTTACTGTACTCCTTAAAAAAGTGCTGGAATTTAAAAAAACATTGATAAGCATTAAGTCATTGATGAAAAGTATTTGATTACTGCTTGAAAATAATTCTAGTTGTAAATTGTCAATCTTAAATTAAGTTGAGCATAGCTCGTTTTGTGTTACTCTTGTTTAAAAACATCTTCCGCAAAAATGTAATTGAAGTCTGAACTTTATTTTCATAGTTGCCATTTGCGAAAAGATGTGTATTATTCTTGTGTTTTTAAAAAATGAACTGCAAAACTGAATTTAATAGTTTTAATATCTTTCTTGTTTTTGGTTGTGCAGGTCTTCAAAGCCAACTGGGATAGTTATGTGCCAGTGAACAATCACTTCCATCGGCCAATCAGAGCAARGTATTTCCGTATTCACCCCAGAAGCTGGAACAGATACATCTGTATGAGAGTGGAGTTCTATGGATGTGTCATTGGTGAGTCTATGACAATTTCGAACTTTTTCTTATACCCTTTATACCAGTTTTAAGAAAATAGATATATGTCAATTCTCATTTCCCACCTTGGATTCGTCCTCGTAAAAGCTCTTGCTGGGGTTGGTTAGAAAGGAAGGGTAGTTAGAAGGGGGATGAGAAATGGTTGGTAACTTTTGCTTATCCGCAGCAAAAATACCAAAACCTTACTCAAACAAMGAGGGTATTTTTTAATTAAAAGCAAGAAGCCAATTGTGAGGCATTCTCTATGGCGACTGCTAAAAACTAATCATTTCTGAATCTTTAAAGGCAAACGCTGTGATCAGCCACTCGGTATGCAAAACGGTAAACTGCGGCGACACCAGTTGATGGCCTCATCAGAATGGGACGCCAACCATGGAGTAGTCAATGGAAGATTGAACTCCAAACGACGAGGTCACAGAGTTGGTGCCTGGTGTGCTAAGTACAATAGCTATAATCAATGGTTAATGGCAGACTTTGGTCGACCCACAAGGGTCACCATTATTGCGACACAAGGTCGTCAGGACATGAACCAGTGGGTGACTATGTATTACATTACATACAGCCAGGACAAGTCTCTGTTTGTGGAGTATAAGGTCAATTCAAAACGAAAGGTTAGCTTTTATAAACAGAAATATTAAAGTCAAATAACTAGATAAGTTAGATATATGTAACGTAAAAGATATGAAAAAGATTTTTTTACTCTAAAAGCTGCATAGACAAATGCAGCTATTTCAAAAACGATTGGTGAAGGTTTTTTGCATGTTGCATCAAGCTGCATCTAGTATACCAAGCTTGAAATGTCAAAAATCGACTGTCAACTCCTTAATTCCAATTCGATCATAAAACGAGGGTCACGAGGTTTGTTAGCTACAGTGCTACCCTTGTACAAAACAAGGACGACTGTTTTACATTTTCGTGTAAATAAAGTCAGCACCGAAGAAATTATGCTGGAAAAAAGTGCAAAGTTTATAGAAATTTGATATTGTGTGACCTTTCGCTGATTGGATTCACAGTGCAGTTCGGGATTGATATGACATGCAGCATTGCAACAAAACATTCATCCTATATTCTTTCAAATAGCTGTAAACTGGAAAGGCACAAATGGACGTACTATAATGTATGTTTCGTTTGATTGACAACGGGCTGGAAATTGTTTATTTATACTAAAGTTTTTTTTTTTAGTATTTCAAAGCTAATCGGGACAGGAACACAGTTGTTCAGTACCGCCTGTTTCCTCGTATCAAAGCAAGATACATCCGTGTTCATCCGTATCGTTGGCGCACTCATATCTCGATGAGGGTTGAGTTTTACGGCTGCGCAGAAGGTAATATATTTACAAATATCAGGGCTATAGGTCCACATATTTATCGTCGAGTTCAGGCAAAAGGAAGAGAAAAATCTAAGCATTTATGTACTTAGCTTTTGTATACATAATATTTATACATATTTAATGAGAATTCACTAATTTATAAGTCCTTGGTTAGAATGAATAGAGTGCAACGTCGGTAAGCACTATATAACAGTGAAAAACTTCATTGCATCTTGCACTACTAGCGATTGGTACCAAAAAGCACTGCCTGATGTAACAATAGGAAGCAATAGAGTTAAAACGTTATCTCATGAAATAGAAAATACTAGCGGTTAACGTCTAATAGTCAAATAGACACAAAGAAAGACTAGGGTTTACTAATGTGTAATAGTCTAATATCTATATTTCAAGGGTCTAGTGACTTTAGACATTGCACTATTTAGCGTTAGTACTCTAATCTAATGAAGTGCATAACATATATCTGTGAAAAACGTTGAACAAATTTACACTTATTAGTAAGCACAATAGACCTCAGTAGACCGTTGACCTACAAAACTTTGGGACCATTTTATGAGTCAATTGTTTTCATGGATATATGTTATGCACTCTAATATTATATTGCACTCTTAGTTTTGATTTATAGAAATTCTATTACCCATATTTCATATTGAGACAAAATTAACGAATGTGGTACTCATATTCTTTGTTTCTTGTCAGATCGTTGCTCCATGCCCCTAGGTGTCGAGGACGGTCGTATCAGAGACAGTGACATCACCTCAAGAATCCACACCCGATATGGTAGCTACGACCCATGGAAAGGTCGACTCAACAGTGCAACCTCGTGGTATCCAAGATCTCGCGTGAGATCCTATTTGCAGATCAACTTCCAGACCTTTGCACGTGTTCGAGGGGTTGCTACCCAGGGCCGAGGCAATGCTAATCAGTATGTGAGGACCTACAGTATTTCTACTAGCAAAGATGGCATGCGCTTTGCTATGTACAGAGAAAACCGCCGATTGAAGGTAACCATTAGTCTTTAAGAATACTTGTAGCCAGTTTGGGGTACAGTTCGATAAAGCAAAGACCATATGAAAAGCTTTGACCGCGAATCTTTCTTTCGACTTTCTTATTACTGCAATCTTTATAAACATGCGAACTGCTGTGTCGCCGAGTTGCACGCTGAAATTTGGATTTCGCTGCCGCCAGTCAAAAATATGAAAGGTACCGACTGATTAGGTTTGATTGACGGCAGCGAAAAACCAAATTTCAGCGTGAGGCTCGCAGCCAGAGTTCGCATGTTTACGAAAATTGCAGTAAACTTCAATGACTAAATTTCAAATCGCATCCTTTTATCATTATGATCAAGCAAAATTTTGTTTTCAAGCATTTTATTCTATCATTATATATTTTTTACAATATTTTTTTTTATATAGTAAAAGAGGTGTCAATAACCTCGTTTTTCAATATTTATTCCTTTTGGGCTAAACATCCATCAACAGACCTAGTTCATCAATACATAACAAAATTTTTTAAAATATCCCCCTTCCCCCCCGCAATATTTTAAGTTTTTCCTCTCATTTTATTGACATTAGGTGTTCGATGGTAACTCCAACATGCACTCCATCGTCTACCACCAATTCAGACGCCTGATCACCAGCCTTGCAATACGGTTTATCCCTCGCACATGGTATGGTTACCCAACCATGAGAGTTGAAGTCTATGGATGTCTAGGTAGGTACTTAAACCAACAAACAAACAATCAGACAGATAGACAGACAGACAAACATTTGGGAAAAATAACTTGACTTTACGAAATTGAATGTTTCTTTTCCAAGTTCCATCAACTAACTTCCAACAATCATGCAATCAATGAATATTTTTATCCTCCCATATTGTTATAGGTGCGGTGTGCAATGCAGAACTTGGTATGCGATCTGGAGTCATCAACAGCAAGCAGATTACGGCTTCCTCACAACTCAACAACCAACATGCTGCACGATTTGCACGACTCTATCAGAAGAAACGCGGTAAATTCAATGTTGGTGCTTGGGTGGCTAGGCACAACAACCATCAACAGTGGCTTAAGGTATTACTGAATAACTTGATAGATATCTTTATCTTATGCAATTTAGAGGAAAATCGAGCATTTTGATTGGCTAAAATGAACCTACGGAAATAAGAAAAAGAACTAATTAATTAATTAACTAATAAACCTGTTTTTAGAAAATCGAGCATTTTGATTGGCTAAGATGAACCTACTAGTGGTCTATGACAGTTCATGGTACAGAAATTAAGAAAAACAACTAATCAATTAGTCAGCTAATAAACCTGTTTTTTTTTTAATATAATTTTCTAATGTTGTCCATGTAGTTTATTTATGCTAGAACAATGAAACAATGAAACATTCATATAATCACCATGTACCACCCCTTTACCCACTCAAGTGCACAAAACGTAAAGTTATTTCTTAAAACTCAGGTTCAATTCTCTTAGATATTAGGCAGATTAAGATTCCCGTTTTTTCTTCTCGCAAACGGCAAACGTGACCACGTTTTCATCGTTTCCCTACATTTCACTTTACCTTTTTGCAAGCCTTCCCGACAAAGACACATATTCTTATTTTGATCTACTACTTGGAGATCATTGCGATTCCTTTTCACTAATTCTGAAGAATCTTTTAATGGTCAACTGACGTTTCACGTTTGCCGTAAACAAGAAGCTTAACCTCTCTATTGTCTTTAGTTTACGTTATTCTGGCCACAAAAAAGTGTAGAAATAAAACATGTTGAATATTCGTAGAAAACGAACATTGTTTTTCTTACTAAAACGCTTTTTTATTCTTGGACCTGAACGTGGTGAAATGCACACTTGATACACTGATACTTTTTTCTCTATTTCCTCGTTGACTGTTGTTAATTTCATCGTAGGTTGACTTCCGTCGTATAACTAAAGTCACAGCCGTGTTATCTCAAGGAAGACAAGACAGTAGACAATTTGTCCGTTACTACAAACTTGCATACAGTCAAGATGGCTATCACTGGACTAATTATAAACTTCGAAACACTGTTAAGGTATGAACGAAAACTCTGAAGGCAATTATATATAAACTAATCAGTTTGCCTAGTAATTTGAATACTCCCATTTCGACTTCACCTTTGCTCAGTCTTAGCCTTGATTGTGTGAAAAAGTGTTCTTTTCTTTCATTAATGTATATTGTATAGTAAGGAATGTACGCACTACGGAACAATGCATGTTAAAAACGAGCAATTAATATCCCATGATTTTAATTGAAATATTAATTACTGTAACGGCCAACTGAAGTTATGGCTCAGAACTCGAAACCACCCACCCCTCAACCCCCTCCCCACTTTAAACTTTTAATCTTACCCCAAAACTTTCGAATTGATGTGAAAAGACATACAGTTTTACTAATATATACTTATATACGTGTATATACTTCCGAACTACGAACCCTCTCTTTTAAATAAGGAGGGGGTGGGGGAGGGGGAGACAAGTATTGGATACTCCCTTCATCACATCGCTTTGCCGGAAGTCAAGGCAAATTGATGTATGTCACATCATAGTACCGCTATCTATCAAAATCATGTTATTTGTGTTCCAGAACTTCAAAGCGAACGTAGACCAAAACAGCGTAGTCATCAATGGACTTTCTCCGCCAATCGTGGCACGGTTCATTCGCATCAACCCTTCAAGCTGGTACAGTCGTATCGCTATGAGAGTAGAATTCTACGGCTGTAAAACAGGTTTGTAAGATATTACTTGTACTTCTCCTTATTTGTACCAATAGACATCTAGCTCTGGCGTAATATTCTCCTATTTTAGACCACGTGTCAATCTCTAGATTACTGTATCTTTGTTTGACGCTTGCACATGAAAAGACACATAATTATGGTTAGGAAAAGGGAATCAAGGGCGGTGTAGAGGTAGGAGCCTCGGGGTCTCAGGATAGATTCCTGGTCCCTGCTTCTCATGTAAGTAGAACGTATTGTGGCCCTCTCTACCACTAGCTGTGAGCAGTGCAACCACCACTAGTGAAACATGAACCATTAATTAGAAAAGGTGTGGCAAGGCTTGTCAATGAGAAAGATAATGGAGAATTTAAAGTGCTACTATGACGAAAATCGCTCAAACTTGGATTCAGCTGAAACTTCCTAAGAATACTCTTTAAAGGTCCAATAATCACTGTATGAAGTGTTTTCTCGATATTCAGGACGAAAGTATGATATTTTTACGATTTTTTTTTGGAGTCTGTGACGTCATACACTCACCATCGAACATCGCTCCATACATTTCTTTGTAGTTTATGATCAAAATATCAGTAGTAAAGGGAGAAAGAAATACCCAAACACCCCAAAATATAAATTATAGTCCCAAGTATTGTGAAATAAGCACATTAGCCACCCTTTGGGCTTCATAGGAATAAAATAAATTAAGGATTTATATACAAAGAAATATATGTAGCAATGTTTGATGTTGAGTGTATGACGTCACAGACTCCAAAAAATAATCGTAAAAAAAAATCATACTTTCGTACTGAATATCGAGAAAACACTTCATACAGTGATTATTGGACCTTTAAAGAGTATTCTTAGGAAGTTTCAGCTGAATCCAAGTTTGAGCGATTTTCGTCGTAGTAGCACTTTAAGAATCCACCATGAACTAGAACAATTTTGAAAAATTCAAAGTTCATCATAGGACCATCCTAATGATCCACTGTCATTTTCTTTGTTCCCAGATCCGTGTGACAGATCTCTTGGTATGGAAGACGATCGAGTCTATAACTCTCAAATAACAGCATCCTCCACCATCAATAAATATTACGCCCCATCTAAAGCAAGACTCAATCTTCGAGGTTACGGAGGGTGGACCGCTGCCAAGAGGGACCGCAAGCAGTGGCTACAGGTAGACCTGGGTATTGCATCTCGCGTCAAGAGAATTGCTACTCAAGGTCGTTACAATGCTAACTACTGGACAACTAGTTTTACTGTGTCTTACAGCAACAATGGTGTAAGATTCTACCCGTATATGGAAAATAGACGATTAAGGGTAAGTCGATCGTAATTTGCTTTAGAAATAACAGACCAAAAAACAAAAACTTAATGCTCAATAGAATTAATATGCTATGTTCTAAGTTACTACCGTTATGACCCCAAATTAGGGACAATTCATTTTCGTCGCCTGGGGGAATCCATGTTGCGGTTTTTTCCCCATTAGAGTACTCACGCCACATCAAAATCTGCGCCTTGCCATTTCATTTGACAACGCCAATTATTGGAATTTAGGAGTTGATTTTTTTGGAGGGAGGAAGACAGGAGAATCTGGAGAAAAGCCCTCGAAGCACAGGAGAAAACCACAAGCAACTCTCTTCACACACAGGACCGAGACCAGAGAGACTCGAACTCAATCGCATTGGTGAGAGGCGAGCGCTCTCCCCGCTACGCCACTCGTGCTTCCCCTTTTTTTCCGATTCCTGTATCGACCCCTGTATAATGAATGTAAACGATGTTATCTTTTGAAGATATTCCGTGGTAACTGGGAAGACAGAATGATGGTTGTCTATAATCGATTATTCCGTCCAATCAAAGCCCGATACATTCGTATCCATCCCCAAACCTGGAAGGGTACTTATATTGCGTTGAGAGTCGAGCTGTTTGGATGCCGACTTGGTAAGTATAACTGTGTATGATGAGATTCGTTGAAGGTTTGAAAGGTCTTCTGAGGTGAGAAGACCTTTTAGCAGATCAAGCCAATCGAAGTGGCTTAACGAAATTTAGCACCCTATCTTTTGGTAATGATTTTTGTGGAAACCTAGTCTATAGATTGGAGCTGGAGCATTGGAACTGCATGAGAAATAATTCTAAAGCTTTCTCAATTTAACCAGCCTTCAAGTTGTACTAATGATTTGGAGTTTGAATAAAAATGAATGAGTGCGCTTATGACTAGTGACATGTACCAAAACTTTTTTTAATCTTGTTAGTCGCGTATAAAGGTAAAACATTTTGTACGGGTCGCTTGATTATTATGTGTTTATAAACCTTTGATTAATTGCTTCTAAAGGCAACCGCTGCCGCAAGACGATGGGCATGCAGTCAGGACAGATCCGCAACCACCAAATAACAGCTTCCTCTCAATGGGGCAAAAACCATGGCCCTGAGCTTGCTCGACTTCACAGCATCAAGCGAGGTGCCCGTATTGGAGCTTGGTCTGCTAAATACAACAATAGATACCAGTGGCTTCAGGTTGACTTGGGTCACCCTTCTAGAATCAGCAGAATATTCACTCAGGGAAGACAAGATTATGGTCAGTGGGTGACAAGATTCAAAGTGCAATACAGTCAGGATGGCATTCGCTTCGTTCATCAAATGGCTGCAAGTAATATCAAGGTATGTATATCATGGAACAGCCCTATTAATGACATACAAATTATGTACAAACTAATGAAATTTTCTTTTTTGTTGTACAGTATTTCAATGGTAACAGGGACATGAATACTGTTGTGGTACACCACATGGATCCACCAATCAGAGGACAGTTTATTAGAATCATCCCCTACTCCTGGTATAGACACATCTCTATGAGAGTAGAGTTCTATGGCTGCCGCATCAGTAAGTATCTCGTGCATGAAGAAATTATGGGACTGAGCGGAGTATGTAAAGCGCTCACCTTATATTCGCTTCTCATACAGCGAACCGGGATCGATTCTAGAACTCCGTGCCGGACGGATGTACATTTAAATAGTCCTCTTCACAGTTCCCAACATGGACCTTCTATAACACCTTGGACAATAATTCACTAACCTTTGTCACTGCAAGGTTACCGTTCGTCACGCTTCGATGCAAAGGAACGGCTACCTTTCAAGATGGCACAGGAAACTGTGAAAGGGACTATCATTCACAATTATCAAGCATTCCAAGGACACCGCCGTTTTCGCTTCGATGCACGAGCACGGTCACCTTTCAAAATGGCGCAAGGGACTGTAAAGGAGACTTCTGACTGATAAGCGTTTGAATAATATCTTGCTTTTTTTCAACAGCGAACTTCAATATATCATTTTTAAAAAATTAAGAAGCAAAAGTTTCAAATTCGAGTATTAATATATAGGAGTTGAAGCGAACTATTAATCAAAAATTCCTCGTTTCTTCAGATCGATGTAGAGTACCAATGGGATTGGAAGACGGCAGAGTCCTTTCTGGTCAGCTCTCTGCTTCAACAGAATACAACTTCAAGCACGGACCTGATCGAGGTCGTCTCAATCAGCGCAGTGGAAGTGGTCGAATAGGGGCCTGGGCCGCCAAGACAAAAAACAACAAACAATGGTTCCAGATTGATTTTGGTAGAACCACTACTCTGACTGGTATTGCAACCCAAGGACGATACGATGCGCATCAATGGGTCACGAGTTATGTTGTGAGATACAGTAATGATGGGCACCGGTTTAGAGACTATAAACAGTATGGTAGAACAAGGGTAGGTTCCTTTAATTTTGTTTTCGCTTCTATTTGCATATCTAAGTAATAAATCAACTTTTCCCACCTCTCTAATACAGCACAGTTCTCGACAAATCAGCGCGCGTAGAGAAACCAAAGACATTCTCTTCAGAAATAAATTTACTTCATTTAATCAGCCCTTACTCATGTTAAACCAAGTTTACTTCATTTATGCAGCCCTTACTCATGTTAAACCAAATTTCAGATTTTCAGGGGCAACTTCGATCGCAATACCATCGTTGCTTATCAGTTTGTTCCAGCTATTCGTGCTCGCTACCTGCGAGTCAACCCCAGAACATGGCGATCCTGGATTTCAATGAGGGTCGAAGTTTTTGGCTGTCCAACACGTGAGTGCATTCATCTAAATCTGATTACCATTGAATATGTAGAGAATTTTACACAAGGTGACCGTAGTGCTACGGACAACTATTTGAGGCGAGGGGGGGGGGGGGGTTGAAATAGTTCAGACAGTTCTCAAATTTCTAAACGCTTGATTTGTCTAGGTCTCGCCTGTCGAAAACCTGTTGGATTCCAGAATGGCAAACTGAAGAACACGATGATTACTGCGTCCTCTACGCACAACTATCAATATGCACCATACCTTGGTAGACTGCACCATGGTAGACGCGGTAGACTGTATGGTGTGTGGTATCCAAGGTAACATTTTTGGTGACATCATTACCGCCAAGTTGGATGACTTTGGTTAAAGATTTGTTTTAGATTACTTTGATCATTTAAAATAAAGTGGCGGCCGTGCCTTTTGCCCTCATGGTCGAGGATGTATACTCCACCAATCCTAAATATAATTTCACATTTACAATTACCATCAGTTCGCTCATTTTTCATGAACTTTCATAATTTGACTAATTCCTCCACCATATTGAATAAATTATGATGATGAGCATTAAAAAGACGAACTTTGGTTCACATTTTGTATTTCCAGATTAGATTAAACTGAACAAATTTTAAAAAACGTTTAAAAGGAAAATAGAAAGCACTTTATGACATCCGCCGAGACGATGTAAGACATCGCAAGGTACTAAAATCAACGGAAGAAACAACTCGCCGTTCGTCTCATTTGAATGTTAATTATCATAATTTATTCAAGACAGCAGAGGAACAGTGAAGGAGACTATTGGTCATTAGCATATACCAACTTGTATACTTCCTAAGAACGCGCGCGCTCATTGGTTAATTTGAGGTGAATATTGTACGATATTCACCTCTGAATCTCGGAATATTGAGTCGGCAACAAAATGGCATCTGCCGGCAATCGTTTTGCTACAATTTCCGATGAGGAAATTGAAAAAATGAAAGTAAATGCCATTCTTATCAATACTAAAAAGGCAACGAAGTATGGTCTAAAAGTTTTGCTAAAAGTTTGCGTGAATTTGCCACGCAAACTAAAAGTTTCTGTTTGTTTGTTTTTGTTGAATTATTGTATATAAAAGTTACTCTGTACACAAGTTGGTATATGCTAAAACAATTATTCGCCTCAGGCTCAGTGAATATAGGGGAATATTTACTTCGCCGCTCGAAGACTCGCGTCTCTGTAAATATTCCCCGATATTCACTTCGCCTTTGGCGAATAATTGCTAATTATATGCTTATTATTTTCCGTAAAAAGGTATCACAACCACAATCAGTGGATCCAGGTCAGGTTTGTACGCGCAATGAAGATAACTGGCATTGCCACCCAAGGACGAGAGGATACTAATCAATGGGTGAAAACATACCGAGTATCTTATAGCCAGGACTGTGCAAGGTTCTCTTACTATATGAACTGGATGGGCACTGGACCTAAGGTTCGTTTTAAATATTTTATAAACATGACAAATGAATAGCCTCTTTTTCAGTTTGTCAAACAAGGAACTACCTTTTTCTATCAGGGATTTTTTTCTGAGTTCTTTTCAGCTAGAGACCAATAATAAATCATTTATATACTACTTCCTAGTACATAAATAATTTCATCATAAAATTTTCTACCTTGCAAAAACATGCAAATGGTTGTCACGGCCCAAATATCAAAACCATTAAACGACAACAACATAACAACAAAAACCCATTGCTTGTTGTGATATGATACGGTCCAAATCAAAGTCAAGTTTGTCGATTATTTGTTGAAAATAACTTTTTTTACCACAAATTGTTAATTTCTCGCGCGCTGATTGACAATTTTTTATGATCGATAAGATGACAGACAAATAAGCTGACGTCAAAAAGCTCGCGCTCTCGGTTATTCTGAACATTGAAAAACGTCGAAAAATGCGTGTTTGTGAATTTTATGTCCATAGAAAACGGACCTCGATTTGCTATGTTGAAAATAAAGATTATAAGAGAGGTTGTCCACCATAAAGTGCTTTATTGCATGAAATCTACTAATCGGTTGCCTAAAACCCCTTTTAAGACAAAGTTTATCAGTATTTTAAAGAAGAAACAACGGAATATAATATATTCAGTATTTCAGAGAAAAAGGAATACAAAAATACTTCACAACAATGTTGACAAAAAGAAGGGTTTCAAATTTAAAATTCTGATGAAGTGTATTTGATTTACAGTCATTCTCTGCAAATAAAGACAGAAATAGTGTCATCACCAACTCTTTTATGCCTTACATTCTGGCTCGCTGTGTCCGTGTCCATCCTTATGGATGGCATTCGCGTATAGCTCTAAGAATGGAACTGTATGGATGCCCAGTTGGTAAGTAAACATTCTCTTCACTGTCATGATTTCTATCGTGTTTTCCTCGTGAATTATTCACTGCATGAGTTTGTTAAGCAGAAAAATACACCTTTATTATCAACACTATTGTGTTCTTGTTATAAATTTCCTTCTATTCCTTGGTGCTTCTTTTGACTGCTTGTTTCCTTACTGCTTTTTCGTCCTTTTTTGTTCATGGCTTCTTTTTCTCTTTTCCTTTCCTTTTCCCTTTTTCTTCTTTTTCTTTCTTTCTCTCTTCCTCCTTTCATCTTTCATTTTTTTTCCCGTTTTCTCTCGTTTTCTTCCCTGCCCATATCCCTTCGAAGAAACTTTAATTCTTCTAACTTTCTTCATCTTTTCTTTTCTCAAGACAAATGTCAACTTCCTCTTGGACTCGAAAACAAGGAAGTACCAAACCCACGCATGCGCGCATCATCGTACAGATACTCATCATGCAGTCCATATAACGGTCGTTTGAATCAACCATACGCATGGTGCTCCAAGTATAGAAAACAAGGAGAATGGTTGGCAATAGACTTTGGTGCGATGACCAAAATGACTGGTATCGCAACTCAAGGTCGTAGGAACGCTAATGAATGGGTGAAGTCTTACTATCTGTCATATAGTAAGAAAGGAGTTCACTGGACTCCATACAGAGAAAGACGGAAAACAAAGGTAGGTTTCATGAATGTTAAGAATTCTTTAAAACATGTGTCTCTGTGTTAGAAGAGATTTAGAAGCTGCAGTCAGATTGATGTTAAATTGGACTTCGAGAGCCGAAAACTGAGTTCATAGCTTGTTTTCACAGCTGCCATGTTGGATAAATTCAACTAACGTTTCATCATTAGTGTCTTTTGTCATATCATCCAACATTACGCAATGATTCCATTAACATTCCAGAAATATRCAGAAAACTTTCTACCTAACATTCTAGCGCTATTGGCGCGTTATAAGATCCTTAAAGCTCGCGCGTGCAAACATTTTTCAGATACACTGACAAGGTCTTTGTTTAGACCGGAACGTCTGTTTAAAAACTGTAAATTCCACAAGTCAGAGACAATTTATAATTAATTATGGCAATGTCTTTTGATATTTAATTCTCTTGAGAAAGATTGAAAACCAGCACTGGTAATGATATGTGTGTACTTTGTTTGCTTGTTAAATTTATCGAAAGCTTCATTCATGAATAAATGAAGGAAGGAATGAATGGATGGATGAATGGATGCATAGTATAGGGTATATCAAGAAGCTATGGCCTTTTGTTATCCAAACCCTTAGAATGGCATACTAAACCAAGGCATCTTTTACTTCCAAGATATTCCGTGGTAACTACGACCGTTACGTAATTGTAAGACACCATTTTGCTCGTGCGATATCTGCTCGTCTGCTTCGTGTTCACCCGTTAACCTGGTACTCATGGGTATCAATGAGGGTTGAAGTCTATGGCTGCGTCATTGGTATGATATCTATTATCTCTTAGTGGTACAATTCTAAATAGAATACAACAAATGTCATTCCTTTAAAATATTTTAAATTATATAGTGCTCTCCTCTTAACGTATTTGGGGGTAGAATGATTTGCTTATTAATTATTAAAAGAAGGATCAATCAATCAATCAGTATTTATTTCAAACATGTCTAAAGTAAATAAAGCAAAGGAAAGGAAATTAAGGTCCTCAACTCTCTCTCCTCTTACGGCTCAAGCAATACATTATAAGTTATGGGACTTAGCAGTAGCAACAATTAGTGTTCTAAATGGCCCCTTAATTGTTCCATGTGGGCAAGCACGAGCAATGTGATCATACACTGGACAGCGTCCTCATTATCTGGATTTAACACTAACCCTGGCTTGTATTCTACGGGCTACTAGTGATGCAGACAAGGCATACGGTTTAGTACCCTTGTCAGTGAAGACTGGAAACATGAAACCGCACACATGAAGCTCTATCAAACGTCAAGGCATTTGTCTTTTGTCGAGCTCACCTAACATAAGTATGACGTCATGTTCTAGGTCCTCGTTGCAATAGACCATTAGGCATGAGCAATGGAAGGATCCGAGGGTCTGCTATCATGGCGTCATCCATGTTTGATACAAACCACGCACCGACATTGGCTCGACTTAATCTGAGGCGCAGTGGAAGAAAAATGGGAGCATGGAGTGCAAAGATCAATAACCATAACCAATGGCTGAGAATCGATCTTGGAGGACCAAGGTCAGTGGAACGTTAATATATTTGAGCATTTTTTCCCTTCAATGCAACGTGTTGTTTTTATGCTGATAATGCTGATTTTGATACCAAAAATATTCACAAACGTTTTTTTTTTTGTCTGTCTGTCTGTCCGCTTGTCGGTTTTCTACTTGATCTTTGGATTGACTTACATCCTGTAGAGACAGGTTTTGATTTTGCCAAATGAAATAAAGAACAAATATAATTATTAAGGCCACCATAGTAACCATTTCAAGCGATTGGCCCTTTGAGGGCATCATTCATACTCATTCAAGTCTATATTCTGAGGGTAGTAAGACAATTTTAATTAATTTTAATTAGAAAGTTTACAAGGGAGGCTTGTAATGCTATAACGATTAATGTGACCTAACTTGGAATAACGTTTTCGTAAAAAAAGTGGTTAAAAAGTTTAGTGTTCTAATTGTTTAATTTCGATCAATTGACATTTACAGGAAAATCACTAAGGTTGCAACCCAAGGTCGCCAAGATGCTGATCAGTGGGTTACAAGCTACTATCTGCAGTACAGTGTTGATGGAGTCAACTTTGCTTACTACAAACAGAACGCTCACGTCAGGGTAAGAAAATGGATGATGTACTGTGAACTCCATGAAACCTTGCAACTACAATAATAGACAACCAGTAAGCTAATGCATGGACTGCAAAGCATCTGCAAGAGGCGCCTTCACGTGCTTACAGTTCGATCTCTTTCGTGTGGTGTAGTGACTAGCAGTAACAAGTTTTAACTGAAATAGACCCCTTTCGAATTCCAAATTACCGCTGTGTTTCGTGATTACAGACTCATTTGCACAGGGTTAGCCTCGAGTTTGTGCAGAATATTCACGTGTTCCAGTCAAGGTCCGTCGAGTTTCAAAACTGTTTGTATTGTTGAAGTTGTGCATTCTTTACTTTACCGTTGGTATTTGTGAATATTCAAACACTGATACGAGGCTAAACCTGTGCAAATGAGTCTGTAATCAAGGAGCACAGCGGTAATTTGGAATTCGAAACTGGTCTATTCTTATTTCATTTTAGTTTATATATAGGTTTTAAAGTATTTGTTCAACAAAGCCACTTTTTCACCAAACAAGATGGATTTTGGATCCGTTCTTGTCTTGAATTAACTAATAAACTAAGTTTTGATTTTTAATATGATAAAAAACGTCAGACCTGGCCCTACAAAGGGGTGTTAATGATTTTCTTTTCATTGCAGACATTCCAAGCCAACAGGAACAGAAATGGCATCGTCACTTATCGACTCTTCCCACCAATCAAGGCTCGTTTTGTTCAGTTTATACCACGTGGATGGCGAAGTCATATCTCTATGAGGGTTGAGCTTTTTGGATGCCGAGCACGTAAGTAACTTCCTGTTAAACACTTTTGTTAACTTAGCAAGGGTACGCAAAACGACACCCTATGATTTGACGCACTTAATACACCAGTTTCACATTCGATGCATACCGCTGTTTTTGAAGACTACAGACTCATTTGCACAGGCTTACCTTCGTTTAAGTCAGCTATTCACAGATACCATTAAAAGTCCGTGGGATTTCAAAACATTGGTATTGTTCAATCTTTACATTAAAGTTGACATTTTCAAATGGTTTACTCTTAAGCGAGGCTAAGCCTGCGGAGATGAGCCTGCAGTCTTAAAACACAGCGGTATTTACGGAATTAGTAAAGGGACTATTCGACCATTTCTTTATGGTTTCATGTTCCTGTTGCCAGATTCTTGTGATATGCCTCTTGGTGTTGAAGACAAGCGCCTTCGTGACGGTGCCATGACAGCATCCACTTTCTACACCGGTTCCCTGGCACCAAAATACGGAAGACTCTATCACATTTACTCTTGGTCAGCCAGAACGAAAAACAGAAACCAATGGCTGCAGATATATTTCATTATCAAAACTCGCGTCACTGGCGTTGCTACACAAGGAAGACATGTTAGTACTTGTTTTTCGCTCGTCTTTTGTAACTATATTTATCTGAGATAGGGGTAGCTTGAAGCATCACGCCAAGGTTTAATGTTCCACAGTAAAATCTTAGTATTACTTAGTAGTTTAAATAGCGTTGTTCAGGTAAACGTTTGTTACCTCTTGAGCACGCACCCACACATTTGTTTCGAAGCCATTCCAAGTTGGGGGGGAGGATTAGACCCCATTGTGGGACTGTTTTAGAGGACTGTATGTTTACTAAAACCGTCCCAAAATACACTGCAATGCCAAGAATAGTTGAATTTGTAAAAGCATTTATGTGAAAATTGAGAACAAATACTGACGTTTTATCGTCTCCAAATCGTTTGGGTATTTTTATATTAGATTGAGATATTTCCCACCTCTTAAGGTCTATGAGGTAAAATAAGAATTGGATAGTCATCAAGGATATTTGATGCTTGACCTCTTAAGATCTATAAGATAAAATAAGAATTGGATAGTCATTAAGGAAATTTGAAAAAAAGAATTGGATATTTGACCTCTTAAGATATATAAGGTAAAATAAGATTTGGATATTCATCAAGGACACGTTAAAATATACGATAAAAACATCAATGCTGAATTTTCTTTGTAAAAAACAGAATGCTAACCAATGGGTTAAGAAGTATACTTTGGACTACAGCATTGATGGACGTCGCTTCCAGACATATAAAGCAAGAGGTGCTAATAAGGTAAATAAACAGTTTGATTTATTTCGCATCCCATTTATGAGTAATGAATTTTGAGTTATTCCTGATTTGTAAGGCAAACTCTTATAATATACTGTGGATTCCCATTGATAATTGCAATTGGTGTACGTATTTGGCTGGTCCAAGCAAAAGTAAAAGCAGCGCGCTGGGGGGAAAAGCAGGCGTAATAATGCAGTGCCTGTATTGAGTTCTGTTTTAGTTTTTTTTTTTGTTAGAATATTTCACAGAAATAAATGGTCTATTTTGCAACTCAAACCGAGATGACATTTTTATTTTCGGGAGAGTAAATTCCAGTCAGGAAAAATCTAATTCGTTCGTAACCAAGACATTTTTTCTTGATAATTATTCATCTTCAGGTTTTCAACGGAAACAGTGATCGTCACAGTGTCGTATTTAACGAGCTGACCAGACCAGTGACTGCTATGTATGTACGCTTCAGACCATACACTTGGTATGGATGGATCTCAATGAGAGTAGAACTCTATGGCTGCCCACTGGGTGAGTGTCGTGAATTGCTAGCTATTAAGCCGCATGCGTATTCCTTACACAACGGTTCCTTATACAACGTTATGTGCAATAGGCCTAATTCGCTTTTTTCCCATATCACACCACGTGTCATTCCCTAGAGTACCATTCTTTTGTTTAACGGTTGCATCTGAGAATATCCATGAATATGGATACATTTCAAACAAAGAATCTTTTTTCTCGAAGAAAAAGTAAAAAAGTCTCTGAAAAACCCCGTTTACACTAGCGAATTTTGCGGCGATTTTTGCTGAGATTTTTTTGCGATTTTGTTCATAACAAATAATGGTAAAGAATTTACTTGTAAATTTTTTTCGGGATACCAAGATTTTCCTAGACGAATGTCTCCTTTGAAGGATGAGACAAAAGATTTCATATTACTGAAAATTGCCACAAACATCGCAGCAAAAATCGCCGCAAAAATCGCCAGTGTAAACGGGGCTAAGAGATAAAACTTCACGCTCAAGTGGATTTGAAAGTTAATTAATTCTCGAAACCAATGTAAATTTTCAATTTGAGTCATTTGCACCTCAATTCAAAATCAAAAGACAATTGTTCAACTTTACGTTTTTTATCAAAGCTTGACTTCTTTCTTTCAGCCGGAGTTTGTAACTCTCCGCTTGGAATGCAAAGCAGACGAATCCGTAACAACAAGATTACTGCTTCTTCGGAGTATAACAAGAAACATAGAGCAATAAGTGGACGACTTGGATCAAATTCTTGCTGGATCGCTAGGTAATTATTATTTACACTATGTTGCACTATATTTGATAAGCTATTTCCTTATTTGCCGAGGTTTTAAATGCTACGTCATTCGTAAGAAAATCGATTTCTGGGTGACGCCATTCATAACAAATGATTTATGAATCAAAGCAAAAAGCAGTAATGTGAAGATTTTTTTTTTGCAAATTTCGAGTAGCTCACTTGATTGGGCAATAGTTTTTTTAAATTTAACCTTATATTTCTAATAATAATTTTGAAAAGAATTTTCTGTAGGCTATCGGTAGGGGCAGCGTCATGATCTTAACAACCAATGTGCAGGAGCACGAATCTCTAGCACAATAAAGCATGATGGGAAAACGATAACTTACGCTTTTTCAGTTCCTCTAAAAATCCCTCTGACAATTTTTCCTTTGAAATTGTATATTGAAATGTGAGTACTTCAAAAGAAGAAAATAATAGTGTTTTTTTAATAACAGTGATTCCCTCGTTCTGATTTGTGAATTACTCTTTTTCCCAGAGTGCTTTGTGCTAGAAATTCGTGCTATTGCACATTGGCTATCAATCAGTTACTTGTTATACTTATTACATATACTTATTACGTGCTATTATGGCCTTACGGTTCTCTTGTAAATGCATGCAATGTTGTAAGCAATTGCTTTTGTGACTTTAGAATACGCAACAGCTACCAGTGGTTCATGGTTGACTTCGGTCGACCAATGGATGTTACCCAAATAGCAACCCAAGGCAGGGTACATCATAACCAATGGGTGAAGACTTACTGGTTGTGGTACAGTCAGGATAGAATCCACTGGGAGAAGTATAGATCAAGAAATTCTATCAAGGTCAGACTCATTCTATGTTTTATGTTTGAGGATATTTGCGGTCGCGCATAAAATTGCCAACTCATTATATACTCGATATCCTGTGATTCTCGAGTGGTCAGGAATGAAACATTTGGAGTCGAGGCTTCGTAAAACAATAACAATAACAACAAATTGTTTATTGGTCGATCACTCAACCAGGATATCAAACAAAAAAGGTTGACAATGGGATCGTGTGTTTTTAATGGAAAATTAAGTAAATGATGATACAAGTTGTTTTCCCATCAATCAAAAGTGGCAATGTGATTCATGAAATTTATTTATTAAAGCTGATAATGTATAACAAGAAAAGGCTAACATGCCCTTTTGTAAACCTAAAAGAAAATTCATTACTTGAATAAAGTTCCAAAAAAACATTTGCTTCACAACAACAAAAAAACTACTTTTTGATGCAAGTAGATTTTTAAAATGGTGTTTCTGTGATTCTGCTTAGAATAACAAGAATTGATGATATTGATATAAGAACTTTTGTATAATAAATCTGAACAATAACGAAATATTATTATTAACAATGTCATTTACAATTTCAGACCTTCCAAGCCAACAAAGATAGATATAGTATTGCACTAGTACCGCTTAACCCGCGCATCAAGGCTCGCTATCTTCGAATCAACCCAAGGAGTTACTATTCGTGGATATCTATGAAGGCTGAGTTTTACGGCTGTAGGGCTGGTAAGATTTGTAAACAATTCTAGATCTATTTTTAACTACTTTTATTCTCACAATACTTCACAATAAACAGTACAAAATTGCTTTGCTTCTGTAAGAAGAGGTGTATTATAGGATAGGCATTCGTTTTTTATCTTTCTTAAGCTTACACTTTGGAAGATAGGATGCATAAAATAATATAATAGAACCCTTGCATTCGACGTCAAAGCAGCTCAATTTAGCAATTCTCATGAGAATTGGAACCTATTGTTATGTCCTCCAAACTGAGCTGATTTCCGACGTGCTGCGAGGGGTCAATTGACTTTTAATAATAATTGACAATTATCGGCTGTATGTTTTGCCAGATCCTTGTGACATGCCTCTTGGTGTTGTTGATGGTCGTGTAAGCAAAGGATCCATGACCGCTTCATCCATGTATTCAACAAGCTACGCACCATGGTTTGCACGCCTTCAGTCACCACGATACTGGCTATCAAGGCACAACAACAGAAACCAATGGCTTCAGATTGACTTAAGAACATTGAGCAGACTTTCAAGGGTTGAAACGCAAGGTCGTCCTAATGCTTATCAATGGGTAACAAGTTATTCGCTGTCATACAGTACGAACAGAGTGCGATTCTTTGCTTACACCGAGTACAAACGAACCAAGGTAATACAATGATTAGAGCATTTATTTAGAATGAAATTGTGACCACTTTGGACCACGTTAGATATGGATCAAACTATGAAATAATCACTTATATTCCTATATGTATAGGTGTTCTTGGGCAACTTTGATAGATTCTCAGTCGTGACCCACCGATTCCTGCGTCGATTCAAAGCCCGATTTGTACGAATTCATCCACGAACCTGGAAATCCCATATCGCTATGAGGGTCGAGTTGTACGGCTGTAGACTTGGTAAGAGCCTTCCACCGAAAATTTAATAAATATCTATGAAACATATATATTTTATTTACCTTCCACGAGGTCCAGATATGGAGACGCTGTGCCCGAGGTGTTGAATTTACGGACCGAGAAGTTGTTTCAGTGATTAATAGATTTTAAGGATAATTTGCTTGGACGTCTGCTCATGAAATTGCTAACTTTTCAGGTCACCTTTGCAACAAACCGCTTGGAATCCAGAGTGGACGACTAAAGAACCGTGCCATCTCAGCCTCTTCAAGCTGGAATGCCCATCACGGGCCATTCCTCGCAAGACTACACAGACAACGAAGAGGTAGCTACGCGGGAAGCTGGTCAGCCAAGTATAATAACTACTATCAATGGTTAATGATTGACTTTGGTCGGGCTACTAAGATCATTAGGGTTGCCACTCAAGGACGACAAGATTCCAGCCAATGGGTTAAGACCTATTGGTTGTCATTCAGCCAGGATGGAGTCAACTTTGTCTATTACAAAGAGGGTTCGGGAAATAAGGTTAGATTTTCAGGATCATCCTAAACAAACGTAGAAAGATATGATTTATTGTATTTTATTTGCTTTACGGTCACAAACTCAGTGACACAGCCAGTGGATAGTTAGTGCAGTTTTCGTATGACAGTGAAAAGTTAACGGCACGAACACGGTCGTGACACGGCAAGGGATACGCCAGACAAATCACATTGCACGAGAATTTACTCTCCATCCAATCAAATACCCGGAACACGGCATAAACACGGCGCGGACACGGTTACGCCACGGTCATGCCAGACCAATCACATTGAGCGTGGAAAAATCAACCAATTAAAATTCTAGAAAGCATTATGGTCACGGCACGGCACGTCACGCTTACGGCACTGAGCTTTTCACAGTCATACGAAAACTGCTCTAAATACTGTGGACGGCTTAACTTGAAGAATTGCATTTTAACAAAATCGTTTTAAATCTGGTTATTGGATTTTCACAATTACAATTGATATTTAATGATGGTGAAATAAGTAAGTATTTAATGCTTCAAAAAGCACGTTGTCAAATAGAACTACAGCTACGGTCAGATCATTGTTGTTGTTCTTCATTTTCTTAGGCGTTCCGAGGTAACCGAGACAGAAACACCGTGGTATCCAATAACCTTTCACCGCCAATCAGAGCTTACTCGGTTCGAATCCACCCACGAAGCTGGTATAGCCGTATATCAATGAGAGTTGAATTATATGGCTGCTTCATAAGTAAGTGCTCTTTCGCTAAAATATAAAAATGGGTGGAGTTGGCATTGCAGTGCATTGTGGGACTGTTGTTGGAGACATATTTCCAAAATGTCGTCTATTTCCTTAAGCAATCCCAATTTGCACTGCAATGCTGTTAAGTTTGCCATTGTCTAGCAACCTTTTTTGCTTTAAATTTTCTATACCTTTTTTGAGGTTTAATTTTGTTTTAAAAATCACTATCCCTSTGCGAATTGCAAAGATAAATGCCATCTTAAAGATCAAAATGTGTACTCAATAAGTATATATATGTGTGTCCTACAAAATCATTTTTACAAAGTTAAATCGAATATTATTACATGGTACCGAAATGGAACTTATGTTTATAATTTGAGTATTTAATTTCTAGCACTATAAGTCAAACATTCCATTCCCTATTTGAATTACAATATGTCAATACAATATCTATGACATACAATATCTATCTTGACTTACAAATTAATTCTAGATAAGTGCTTGCTACCGGTTGGAATACAAGATAAACGCATACCAGATGGAGCATTCACAAGTTCTTCAATGTACAATTACAAACATGGACCAGAACGAGCTCGTCTTCACCAGCCAAACGACGGTAGAGGTATTGGAGCCTGGGCTGCCAAGTATAACAACAAAAAGCAATGGCTGCAAATCGATCTGGGTGCTGTATCGACACTTACTGGTATTGCTACCCAAGGAAGACATGGGTCCAATCAGTGGGTTACTTCATATTATGTAACGTACAGTCGCAACTGTCAAACGTTTGCAAAATACAGAGAGAATGGAAGAACAAGGGTAAGACAAATTATTTCACACAGCTGTTCAATATTAATACCTTTTTAGTTGCAGCGTAGTTTCACAAGAAATTTGGTTGTGTCTCCACTCTGAGAGAAAATCTTTGTGGAAACAAGGCATCTTAGCTTTGTATTCAATGCAGGCTACCCAGTGTAATGGCAGTTTAAGGACTAGTTGGGTTAACTGGGTCCGCTTGATTATTACTGCTCAGTTGATAAGCATAGCAAATGAAACATCCATAACAGACTTATCATACACTAGAATTGCAGGCTACCCAGCATGGCAGTTTAAGGACTAATAGACCCCATCACAGTTCCCTGCTCCATCTTGAAAGGTAGCCGTGCCTTTGCATCGAAACGAGACGAATGGCGGCCTTGCAATGATAGAGCCCTTTTTAACACCTTGGACAATTATTCACATGTCTCTATCATTGCAAGCTCACCGTTCGTCTCGCTTCGATGCAAAGGCACGGCTACCTTTCAAGATGGCGCAGGGTACTGTGAAGGAGAGTATTTCGTTAACTGGATGCCAGTGATTATTACTGCTCAGTTGATAAGCATAGCAAATGATTTCATAAATGAAAAACTTAGTTTAGAAACATCCATAATAGATCGGCCCTGCAGCAGAAAAAGAATCATATCCCCAAATATTGTGAAATGTTGTGAACAATTATGTACTCGGTAGCGGCAAGCGGCAGGCTGCACAATTTGTTGGTTTTTTTTTTCGCTGTTGTCAATCATACTTAATCAGTACGTCGGTACCTTTTATGTTCTTGACTGGGGGCAGTGAAAAAACAATTTCACAACAAGCCGTTGAAATGCCTGACTTCGTAGAATATCGAAAATCGTTTTAAAAGATTTAATTCTAGAATTTGAAAAATGATGTGTTTCAAACTGTGGGACAATAGGCAAATAATCATAAATGCATTTTTGTTACCATTTCATAAACTATTTTCTCCCTAATGTTAATGATATGTACTCATACGTGTTCATAACTTGTAGGTGTTCCGTGGAAACTTTGACATGTACACAACTGTGGCGTATCGCTTCTTTAAACCTCTGAAAGCCCGATGCATGCGATTCCATCCACTCACATGGAGAAGCCATATTTCGATGAGGGTTGAAGTCTATGGCTGCGTACCAGGTAATTAACAAAATCATTAGTTATTGTGTCATTGTTACCACAAACACCTTATAAGCAACTTTTTTTTTATTTGGTGGGCTGAAAAATCCATAATTTCAAGAAGAAAAGTGACCACACAGTTTTGCAAATTTTCTCGATTCTGATTGGCTGGCATGTTCTCTCAGATCTGCTGGAGGCAGCAAATGGTACACACTACGTTGAATTCAAGGTTTCAGAGAAAACGCATTACCATTCCGCGCTTAACAAATTCTCTTCGTTGCACTAATGATATGCTATCTTAGAAATTTGGGCTAGACTATAATTTCAAGCTTTGCAAATTGAACACACACAATATCTAATTCACTAATATTTCAACTATCCAATATCCTCCTCAAGTCTTGTTATGCAGTTAAAGAGGTTTTGTTTTCTTTATTCAGCACGTCCATGCAGTAGTCCACTTGGAGTGGCAAATGGTCGCTTGTCTAATCGTGCTATTACTGCATCTTCTTCCCTTAATGCTGCCCATTCACCATACCTGGCTCGTCTGCGACGAACCAAGACCAAGCGATACTCCAGCTCTTGGGTCTCCAGACGCAACTCTCACAGTGAATTCATTCAGGTATAAGTTTCAAAAATACTTAATATATGCGAAGATATAATGCATGTAAACATATTTCGTGAAAATGCTTCTTCAAAATGTTTTTTATCAAATTCATAGTTCCTTTAAACAAATAAATTAACCTAAAGTTTGAAACACCAAATTTTGAATGAACGTTAAAAAAAGTTTTTAAATTTCAAGGTTTCGCATAAAAACTGTTTTCGTTTAATTATAGTATTTTTAAAATATTTTTTTTTTCGTGCCACCTATTAAAGTCAATAATATTTTTGCAAAGTCTTCATTTTAGCCTTAAATCCACCCTCTATTCTTATCGTGATTGATAAACCTATGATATTTTTACAATTACTTGCTTTAAGTTCGATTTCGGACGAGTAATGAGATTCACTGGTATGGCAACCCAAGGAAATGAAGACGCCAACTGGTGGGTTCGATACTTCTACCTCAAGCACAGCTTGGATAATGAGCTGTTTGAGTTCTATAGCTCAGGATCATCCATCAAGGTATGAGAAAAGCATAAAATTTAATATCAAAATTCAAAGTGCACGAGCACGAATCTCCAGTACGGGACATGAACGGGACTTGAACTCGTGGCCTGAAGCTTAATGGGAAGCTGAGTAGTTATGCTTTTGCGGCTTGCCTCTAAAAGAATCATCTGACAAATTTTTCTTCGACATTTGTTATGTAAATCTTTAAGTATTTCAACGGTCGCAAAATAACAGAGTATTTTTTTCTGGCAGATCCTTTCATTTCTTTGTTCCATGTTTTCAATATTCGGTTTCCCAGAGTTTTAATATGAGATTTGATGGGCATTGTCTTTTGCTCTATAACAGAAAGACAATGATATTAATTTCCGTATCTGAAGCTGATTTTTTTCTGTATCTTTTCGTTTTCCATAGCAATTTGCTGCAAACAACGATCGCTCAAGTATAGCCACCATCTCCTTCAGGCAACCGTTCGTCGCACGAGTCATTCGAATATATCCAAGATCATGGCACGGACGCATCGCTATGAGGGTCGAGTTCTATGGCTGTATTGCGAGAGGTATGGGAACCATAGATAACAAAAAAAATTTCTTCTTTTCTTTGTTTACTGCTCCAACATCTCCGACATCGGTTTTTCCTCCCTCCTCTCAAATCAATTCTTACTAATCCAAACTGGTACCAAGAGCTGTGTACCGGGGGTCATACATGGACTGTATACAGTGGCGGATCCAGGATTTTTCAAAGGGGGGTTCCGTTTCTTAAACTGTGTATAATTCTCTTTTGTTTAGTCGATGTTCGACAAAAGAAAATTGGCTCTAATCACCTAATTTACTATCTAGTAACGGACCAAGCTGTAATAACACGACCCAACGCAAAACTACTAATATTTTTTTATTAAAATTCATATAAGACATATTTCTATTACCTAAAAGATCAAACCTTCAAGGGGGGTTCC